GTCTGGACCACCAGCTCAGCCTGCGAACGGAATTCGGAATGGACCTACAGGGGCTCAGTTTAGGTCTGAGCCAGTTTTCAGGAGAGAACCTATTCAATACGTAGGTGAAGGAGTTGGACCTAGTTTTGGACCCACACGACACCAGCAGAGTCTTAATAAAGTGGTGTCGTATCCAGCTCAAGGGGTATACTACACGAATGAACTTGTCCCTGAGAGGAGACTTTATGACTCAAGTTTATATCCCGGTCAGGTAAATGTACCTATGGCTCTCAATAACCAAGGGGTCCAGTTCGGGAATAAACCTAGTCCTATTGGTCCATCTCCACGATTAATGGGGAATTTTGAGCCACGGGGGCCGCGATACCCGAGGGAGCCGAGTTCCTGGGGTGAGCCTCCCCCTTTTCGAGAGGGTGATGATGCGGAGGCCGCTGATAAGGTGAGTCATTTGAGTCAGGCTGAGGCGAATAAGCTGCTGAGGCAGTTTTTTAGGATGAAGAAAAGTATCAACGCTGAGTTGGACTCCTTCATCGAGGAGCCCGTTCTGATGTATAGAAAACCGAATTTTGTAAATAAAAGTACAAGCTGACAAAAATGAATTTTTGCGTCATTTTTTATTTTTCATTGCTGGCGAGTAGTACTTTTATGGTAATACAGAAGCCGAGGAGTATTTTGTGCGGTCTGTAATCTTGCATTTGAGCAAACTGCGAAGCAAAAAGTTTGATTTGAAAAAATCAACAGTTATTTAGTTTTTCAACAAATCTTTCGCACATAAGATATATCCATGGATATATTCTTGATGGAGAAGAAAGGTATGTTGTTCTGATTAATGATTCATGATTTTATTTCACAATGGTCTTGAAGCAAAACAATGGGATAAGAATGTACCCAAAAACGATTTGCAGTCTATGGTAGGTGTGGACATGAAATCGCGAAAAATCAAAATTTTGGCTGATCCTGATTTCAAGATATCGCAATTTGAAAATTTTATAGTAAATGCAAGTTTCCTATTAGATTCGATCCACTATTTTATTTACTTTTCTGTTGAATCGGTGTTGAGTGGTTCACGTTTCTGATTTTTGTTCGATTCATTTCGAACGAATACATGACCTTTTGTTACATGCACACTTCCTTTCATACTCTTTTTTGAACTGAACAATTGGCCTTCTGGTGCGTCTGCGGCAATTGTTGTTACGAATATGTCGTGCATGCTGATTTCAGCTCAGTGCACACTTGACTCTCTGAAGGCGTTTTATGTGCGAAAGCATTTCGCCTTCAGTTGCGTCTGCAGCAATTGTTGTTACGAATGAGTTGTGCGTGCTGATTTCAGCTTATTACATACTCGACTCACTGAAGGCGTTTTATGTGCATAAGTAGCGCAATCTGTTGGAGAGCGACCGAAGTAGGGGTTGAGCGATTCATTCAATCTCACTTCTGTTGTTCTCCATCAGGGTGCTCCACTTCCGCACATAAGACGCCTTCAGAGAGTCAAGTATGTATTGAGCTGAGATCAGCACGCACAACTTATTCTTAACAACAATTGCTGCGGACGCAGCTGAAGGCAAATTGAAAAGCTATGAGTATTTAGAGCTCTTTTTGTCGCAAGTTTTAAGATTTCTTAAAGCAACTATGAGCATTGCTGCATTGAAACCAATGATAAAATCACTACAAATGGGAAAACCAGAAAATCCCGATTCTAGGGTAAATAATAACGTAATTTGGAGGAGAGGGGGGGGGGGCGTTAGGGAGTCCGAAGTACCTATCAGGTACACTCATTGTTGGGCATTTCACGATAGTTCAAATTGAATACAATCTTTTTTTGCGCTCAAACCAACATGTAAAACGCTAAAGTCAAGAAAATCCTGAAAATACCCCAATTTGATCCTTTCCCCCTCTCTTGGGTTAAGCACAACTCGGATTCATGGGAACTTTTTTGTAAGCGTTCTTTAAACCCAAATGAATACCTTAAAACAGTAAAACCGTGTATCTCAATTTTTCCCCCGCTATTCGTAGAATTTTGATCCGCCACGCATCTGGACTATAAGTCAGTTCTTCATTTCACAAGAACTGCATTTCAAAATCGAGAATTTCAACTGCGAGAGAAGAAAGACAATGAAACGCTTTGAAAAAAAGGAGTTTTTGAGCAAAGCATTCTGATTCATGTCTTATAGCTATTAAGATGAAACTTGAAGTTGATTTTCATGACACAGTCTCTTGAGTTTCAGGTATTCAAACACTTCTACAAAGATTAGACAGGGCATATTTACTTGGTGTGCATTGCACACTTGCAATTCTTTATCATGGAGTACTTAAGTGACTATATCATTTGAGTGTTTGACG